AAAAAAAAAAAAAGATGTTCTTAGCCTGATCAGGCTGCTGAAAGACTAGCAAAGACTGAGTGGCTCCTAAACAACAGAAGTTTCCTTGTCAGATCCAGAGTCTAGATCAGGGTACTGGCATGGTCTAGTCCAGTGAAGGCCTCTTCCAGCTTGGGGACTTGTGACTTGTATGTTTAGGTGACAAAAAGCTCTAGGGAGCACTATGAGAGTCTTTAGAAAGTGCTGGCGTCCTTCATGGCTCACTTATCTCCCAGAGGGCCTGCCCCTAATACCAGTCGCACTCAGAATGGATTTGGCTAGTCCACTGCATAGATTAAGTTTTTAAGATTGAGAAATGATACTTTGATTAAAAACTATTATGGCAGATTGTTTCTCCTAATTAAATCTTTTAGTATTTGGAGGTTTTCTGTTTGTTTTTAGTTATTACTCCATTCAAGTTGACAACTGTGGGAATGCAGACTCCTGTCTCCAATAAGAAACCAGTATTTGACCTCAAAGCAAGTTTGTCTCGTCCCCTGAACTATGAGCCACATAAAGGTAGGGTGGGGGTGCTTTGGGGTACCGGGCCTATAAGGGACTTAAACTCAATGTGTGAAGATGTGAAGAAATTCCAGTGACTAAACGGAAGCTACACCTGACTAGCAGAGCTGGGTCCTCTACCTCTACTTCCACATGGTGCCACAGTTCTAAAAACTGTCCTTTAGACAAGTACTAAATAATTGGTTCGTGTAAGCTTGTATTGATTGAAAATATATTTTCTAAAGAATGTTACTTTAAAAAAATATATAAAGTTAAAGGGTACAAAAAAAGAAAGAAAGAAAGTTAAAGGTACTACAAAAAAGTAACAAAACCAGCCCAAATCAAGAAAATTAATTTAGCCTCTTAGGGTCTCACCATGCAGCTCATGTGAATAATGTGCACAGGCCTGCAGATACCTGCTTCAGTCTGGGCTTTTTTGTTTTCCTTATCACACTTGTTTATTTTAATGAGTATACTTTAATACTCTTGGAATTGTAAGTCATCACATTGTACAGTAGACCTCTTTAACACTAACACAGCCCTCCTGACCCAATAGAACCCTGTGTCCTCTCAGCAGTGTCTCCCTAGCTGTCCTGGCCCTCACCTCTATAACCACAGTGCCTCTCTGCCTCTTAGTTCAATCATTTTGTTTTGTTTTTATACAGGGGCTTAATATGCAGTTCGGACTCGTAGTGATCTTTCTGTCTCAGCCTCGCTAGTGCTGGGATTAGACAATGTGTCACTATGCCCGGCATTCAACCATTTCTTTTTTTTTTTTTTTTTAATATTTTATTTATTTATTTTGTGTGTGT